GGCAGCAGAGGCGCAGAGCAAGCAGGCGGCGGCGACCCAGGCGGCGGCCCAGGCGCAGGCCGCCTCCAACGGCGGCACGCCGCAGGCCAGCGGCGGCAGCGGCAGCGGCGCCACGCTGGCTGGCGCGCACGGCAGCGGTGGGCCGGCCACCAGCGTGGGCATGCCCATGGCGGCGGGCGGGGCGGCAGGCCCCATGTTCCAGCCCGCGGCGTTTGGAGGCATGCAGGCGCCGCCGATGTTTGGGCAGCGGGGGATGGCGGGGCCGTTTGGCCAGGCGGCGCCCCTCCTGCACGCCCCCGGCGGCGGTGAGCGCAGCAGCAGCGGGGCAGCGGACATGCATGCGTGCCCGCTCGGCCCAAGCAGCCCGCCATGCCTGGCTGCCTGGAGGCTGCCGTGGGTGGTTGGCGGGCACCACTCTCCTGCCCTCTACGACTGGTGGCTGTCGCCCCCCACCCACCCCACCCCATGCGCCCGCCTGCCTGCCTCTCCCTGCAGGCTCAGATGCCATGAACAACCAGGTCGGCCACACCGGGCACAGCGGCATGCACCTGCAGCTGCTGACCACCGGCGGCTCTGGCTGCCTGGCCGGCCCGCCGGGCATGTCGCACCTGTCTGCCGCCGGCAGCGGCAGGGCTGGCTTCATGTGTGAGCTGGCTGGCAGCGGGCAGGCGGTGCCCATCTCACCAAACATGGCGGCCCTGAGCACCGCCAACGACGCGTGAGGCTCGGCGCTGGGCGGCCACCCGCGCGCCGATGCTGACGTGGCGCCCTCGACCACGAAGAAACTCAAGACCAAGCAAGCATGACTCCTCCCCGTCCGGACCTCCAAGCACAAGTGAAACTGGAAACGGTTGCCCCTCCCCTTCTCCCCTGTCCCCCGCCCCTCAACCCAGCCAGCCGACGACGAGCCCCGCATTTTCCCCCGCTGCTTGTGCGGTGCGTGGCCGTGGGCGGCGGCTGGCTGGCGCTCCGGCCCCCATCGCATCCCCCTCCGCTCCTCTGAGTAATTGATGTCGTCCCAAGTTGCTGACCCTCCCTCCCGAGAAACAAAACTTTGGCCCCCCCTGCTTTTCCCCCGCCGCAGCTGCGGGGAGGGGGCAGGAGCGCTGCTCGACCGCAGGCGCTGTGCCCCCTCTTTGGCAGCCCATCTTGCCTGCCACCCTGCCCCTGCTCCCATCAGTCGATCTGGACTCCTTTTCATGCCTGCCCCTGGGTGTTTTCCAAGCAAGTGGCAGCGCACGAGTTTGTTCTGGGTGCGGGGTGGTCGATCACCCCGCTAGTTTTCCCCGCTTTCAACGCACGCACCAGCCCCTCAAACCACGCATGCCTGTATATCTATTTTTTGCGTGTCCTGCGCTCTGCCCCAATGTACCTCATGCACTTGCCCGCAGGCGCCACCCCCCTGCCCCGCCTCTGATGGGTGGGTGGGGGGGGGGCCCCTGCAGGCGCCCCCCACACAGCAGCAGCATTTTTCTCTTTTTGCTGCTCGCATCTCACCTTGATGTGCCGCCAGCCTGGGATGTCTTGGGTTGGCTGGCGGTGCTGCCCTTGTTGGCACTCACCATTCTTCCTGCGCAGTAGCGCAAGCAGCGGAGTTGCCGCTGCCTCGCTCGTTGAGCGTACATAAGCCCTGCTTGCTGCTGTTACCACTCCTCTTATCTCTTTTTTCCCATTTTCCTTACAATGCCCTGATGCGATGTGCACACCATGATTTTTAACAGGCCCACGATTACCCCGCAGGTCAGCAGCCGCGGTTTGTGCTGTTTGCCCAGCCTTTGAGACGAATCCCAAGCCTCACTCGCAGCTCAGCGCCACAGAACGCACCCACAGCCATGCTGACCCACTGCCACACCCCCAACAGCCGCTTGGGGCCTGCCCAGGCACCTCGCAGTTCCAAGCTGCTCCCCGGCGCCAGTCCAAGGGCGGCCGGCGCGCTGCCAAGGCGCCTGAAGCCGGCGCGCAGCCTGCCCGTGCCTCCGCCGCCGGGTGCCGAGGATGCGGGTGAGGAGACCAAGTTTGAGCAGCGCCAGCGCCTGAAGGAGAGCGTGGGCCAGGGTGCCTTTGGCGGCGGCGCTGCCGATGAGGGTGCTCAGCAGGCAGCGGGCGGCGGTGCGGCGCAGGGGGCTCAGCGGGGCGGTGCCGAGGGCCAGGGGAGCCTGCCTTGGAGCGCGAGGGCGAGCCCGGCAACCAGGGTGAGCAGGCCTAGAGGAGGTGCGGGCGGTGTGTGTAGTGTGCAGATTGGTGGCGCTGGCAGCTGCTTGAGCCGCCCGATGGGGCGGCATTGCAGGCTGAGCGGCGGCTGCCTGCTGCCGCGGGGCGCAGGCATGCATGGTTCATCCCAGCTGCCTGCCAGTCAGGACGAGGAGTTCCCCACCACCGCTGAGGGGCTTGAGGATGAGTTCCCAGCGCGGCCGAGCCGGAGTGAGCCCAGAAGATGGGGAGGCGCGGCGCGGCGGCGGGGGCAGCGTCTGCAACACAGCATGGAACCGACATGACATTGCCACAGCTGCCCACACCGACCTTGAAATTGTGGTGGTCACGTGAAAAGCTGGCAGGGAGAAGAGCAGATTGAGTTGATGACTGGCGCCGGCATGGGGCGGCGGCTGCGCTGAGGTGCCCCAGCAGGCAGAACGGGCTGGAAGGGGTTGCCACCATAGGCCCGCCGTCTTCCCCGGTGATCAGGGTTCCTGAAAGGCGCCCGCAGGTGCCAGCGGAGTCCCCGTGCCCACAGCAAGACACACCAGACCGCCAGAGCAGTGAGTCGGGGCATGGCGGTGCTGCAGCGCCTGTTGACGCGCACGCCAGTTCAGCTAGCAGCCCCAGCATAGGGTGTTTCAGCGCCCACGCCCCGTGGAGGCGCTGCCGGGCTATGCAGCCAATTGCCGCGCGGGACTCCCTTGGCACGGCAGTGGGGCCCGGCACCCTGATGCGTCGTGGCGCGTGCCGCTGGCTGTGCTGGCTGGCTGCCGCGCGTGTGTTGGTCGGTGCGCCGCCGCCGCCCCGTCGCTGCCCTCCTCACCGTGCGGCGCTCTCTTTTTCTTTGTCGCAGGCAGCAGCCACCCACGCCATGGCTTTCTTCCAGCGCGTCATGTCCTACCTCCTCAATGAGGTGCTGGTCAACGGCCTGGCCAACAGGTGGGCTCCGCATTCGCGCCAGCGCCGCGCCAGCAGCGGCAGCGTTCTGGTTGGTTGTCGTGGGTGCAGCAGCCACGTCCATGGCCCCAGCGCCTCTTCAGCAGCTGGCACCCACGCTGTGCACCGCCCCGACCGCCCTCCCGCAGCCGCACCTTCCAGCGCTTTGCCATCCGCAGCAGCTCCCTGGTGGAGGAGGCGGCCAAGAAGACGGCGGAGCACAAGCAGCAGCTGGGGGAGCACGGCTCCACCTTCTTCAAGGTGTTCAGGGAGGAGGTGAGGCACCCAGGGAGCGGCGAGCCCTGCAGACTGGTGTGGCCGGTGCTAGCAGCTGCCCCACGCATCATTGGCGCCCGCCGCCCTCCACAGGCTGCCCCTGCCAGCTGAACTCTGCTCGCCTCTGCCCGCAGATGACCAAGGGGCTCAAGGAAGTAAACAGCAAGACCAAGTGACCGACACCCCGCCAGCGCACTGCCGCGCCCACCCGCCAGCGGCAGCAGGGCGCCCGCAGCAGCGGGGTGCTCGCCCCCCTCCCCTCTTGAACCCAGCCTGCCATGCCCCAGCCAGCTGTCAGGCGCCTTGTTTGATTCCGCTCTGCGCATCCCTCTTTTGCTCGTCTCTGCTGCTCAGCCTTCTTTCTTTTGTTTTTCAGTTGCAGTTTTGGCAGTGCACCTGCCCCTGACAGCGTTGTTGTAACCTGCCGACGCCATGGATTTACATGGATGAAGAACAAGAATAACAGAAGCCTGGTGATGGTGCAGCTTGGCCGCAAGGCACTCTAGCGCACCAGCAGGCCAAGGTTGTCTGTGGCTGCTCCCACGCCAGAGGCAGCGCCCAGGCCGCCTCCGGCACTCCACAGCGGCAGGCCCGACAGCGGTTGCTGCGGTTGCGCCAGCCCCTCGCTGCTGCCCCACCCAGCGCTTGGTAGCTGCTGCTGTTGCAGCAGGCTGCTGCCGATGGGGAGGCCCGGCAGGAAGCTGGCGGAGCCGGTGGCGGAGGCGAGGGGTCCAGAGTGGAATGCAGGTTGGCTGCTGCTGCTGCTGGGCTGCAGCGCGTTGAACGAGCCCAGCAGCCCAAACCCGCTGCTGCTGGCGGCGGCAGCGGCGCCTCCGCCGCTGCTGGGGCCAGGTGCCGCGGCGTCCGACGCCCCCAGCAGGGACAGGAGCTGCAGGTCGTCGCTCCCGCCGTACGCACCGCCGCCGCCGCCCGCTGCCGCGGCCAGCGGGGACGGGTTGCCGCCCCAGATGCCCGCGGCGCCGGCGGGCGAGGGGTGGTCGCCGGATGTGGGCGTGCCCACGCCGCACGCCTGCCCCGCCGTGTCTCGCACCGCGCTCAGCGCCGCCTCTGCAAACCCGCCAAAGCCAAAGGCTGAGTAGCAGCTCTGCCCCCAGCTGTCGGCGCTGTACGACTGGCCGCTGCCGGCGGGCGAGGGCGCCAGGGTGCCAAACAGGCCGCCGCCGCCCAGGCCGCTGGTGCTGGCGCCGGGGCTGAGCGGCTCGGCGGGCAACTCTGCGCACAGAGGAGAGCAAGCAGAGGGGGAGAGGGGGCCAGGCAAGGCAGCAGTCAGCAGCCAGCCGCAAAGGCCGCACAGCCAAGCAGAGGGCAGGTGACAAGCAAGGCTGTGCCGGGAAGCCCCCTCTGGGCACGCCTCCGTGCGCATCCCCCGCCGCAAGCACAGCCCCACCTGGCGCGGCCAGCGAGGAGTGCTGGTGCTGCGCGGGGAAGCGGGCGTGGGCGCCGCCGTGGAATGGCAACGCCAGCAGCGCCTGCTGCTGCTGCTGCGCCAGGCTGGCCGCCAGGCTGGCCAGGTCGCCCTGCTGCTCCACAGCCAGCAGCTCCACGGCGCCAGGCGGCAGGCCGTACCGCGCCTGCAGCTCCTGCAGCAGCAGGCAGGGGCAGGCGGCGGGCGCGGGGCCAGCGAGGGAGTCGTCGCGTGAGCAAAGCAGGCGCACACAGCACCACTCTGCGTGGCGGGCAGGCAGGCGGGCGGGCGGGCACAGGCGTGCTGCCCCCCCGGACCCAACTCCCGGCATCCGGCACACCACCGCTCCCTGGCACGCAGCGCGCGCAGCCCCGCGCCTTGCCCGCACACCACCCGGCGCCCCACCTGCATCAGGTGCAGCTCCTCTGTGAGGTCCACCTCAGCGGGCGCAGCAAGCACAGCGCGCCCCAGGCCGTGCATCGAGTCCTGCACCCCCGTGGCCTGCTCGATCAGCGCCACCAGCGCGCCCTCCAGGCTGCCGCCGTGCTGCTGCACCGCCGCCAGCGCGACGCTGGGAGGGAACCCCACCGCCGCCAGCTGCTCCACCTGGTGCTGCAGCTTGTGCTGCACCAGCGCCTGCATGCACCGCTCAAAGGCCTCGCCGCAGGCCGCCAGCCCGCCGCTGCCGTCCAAGCCTGCCGCCTCCTCGGCGGCCGCAAAAGCGGAGCGCTCGCGGGCGCTCGCCGCGCCACCCTGGGCCTGCGGGCTGGTGGGCAGGCTGTCGGCCGGGGAGGCGGAGGCGGCGTCTGGCGGCGAGGACGCCGCCGCATCGGCCGCTGCCGCAGCAGCCGCCTTCTTCTCCGCCCGCCGCTGGTTCTTGCGCTGCGTCCTCGACAGCTTGCCGTCCTCCACAGGCAATGCCGCCACCACCACAGCCGCTGCCGTGCCCCTGCCCCTGGCACCCGCTGCAGCGGGCGCCGCCGCGGGTGGGCGAGGCGGCGGCGGCGGCGGGGCCGCCGAAGCCGCCGCCGCCGCCACCGACGGCTTGTGCGCCCACGCGCCCTGCGGCTGTGCCGCCGCCGGCGCGGGGGCTGGCGCTGGCGCCGGCGCCGCTGCCGCCGCCGCGCCATGCGGCCTGGGCGGCTTGCCCGGCCCGGCTGCCGCTGCGGAAGCTGCGGGCGGCGGGAAGGCCTCCTCTGAGCTCAGCGACGGCGCCGCTGGTGGTGCCGCAGCTGGCGCCGCCGCCGCCGCCGCCGCCGCCGCCTCTGCCAGCTCAGGCGCCTCCAGGCTGCTGGCAGAGCTAGCCCGGCTCTTGCCCCACGCGCTGGCCGCCGGCGCCGCCGAGCTGGACAGGCTGCTGCTGCGGTCCAGGGCCGCCGACGACGCGCCGGTGCGCTCTGCAGGGCGGGTGGGCGGGGGCGCGCGGTGCGCTGGGCATGCCAGCAACGCGGGGCCCCGGCTCCTCGCCACCCATGGGCGCAGCTCTGTCCAACACAAGCACCACCCCACCCACACACCAAACGCACGCCACCCCCACAAAAAAACAGCAACACAAGTCCCTGCCGAGGCCTGGGGCTGAGCCCTGTGGCGCGAGGCGCGAGGCCCGCCTGGCCGTGCACACAAGCGGGCGCAGCGCGCACCCACCCGCCATGTACTCATCCAGAGTCTTCACCTCCCGCTTGCCGCCCGCCGACCCCGCCGCGCTCAGCCTGCCCGAGGAGGCGGCGGCGGCGGCGGCGGCGGTGGCGGTGGTCGAGCTGGCGGAGGAGGCTGTGGAGGAGGAGCGGGCCAGGATCTGGCTCTTCAGGTTCTTGGCAGCCGCCGCCAGCTGCTCCTTCTGCAGCTGCGCCTGCGTCTTGGGCGGCGCGGCGCTGGTGATGGCGGTGTTGGCCACGTTGCTGCGGGGAGGTGAAATGGGGGGGGCAGGTGCGCAGCAGGGTGGGCGTTGACACGCAAGGCGCAGCGAGACAAGCGGGAAGGGCAGGGGGGGTGCGGTCGGATGCTGCCGGCGGCACGCGCTGGTCCTGGAGGCTGCCCCATGCGCGCCCTGCCAGCGGCACGCCTGCCAAGCCCCCCCGCTCACAGCGCCTTGATGACCGCGGGCTTGGCCGCCGCCTTGCCCTTCTCCTTGCCCTTCCCCGCCTTGCCCGCCGCCGCCTTGGGCTCTTCGTCCTTCTTCCGAGATGGTTTGTCCTTGTCCCTGGCCGCCGTCTGCTGCGCTAGCTGCTCCAGCTCCGCCTGCGCAGAGGCACAGTCACGCCAACACACCACCTCGGCAGCTGGTGACTGTGCACCCACAACACCGCCCGTGTGCGCCCACAACGCAGCTTGTGCCCCCCAGCTGCTCCGTGCGCTGTGCCAATATGCCCTGCGGCAGCCCGGCCGGCAGACAGGCACCGCGACAGGCAAGGAGATTCTGGCGACCGCCTCACAGGCGGCGGTGCGTCCGCACCTGCCGCCGCTTCTTGTTGGCCTCGCTGCGGATGCTCACGGGGTGCGACTTGAGGATCTGCGCATCCAGGGCATGGAGGGGCGTAGAGAGAGGTCAAGACGTATTCCATGCCAGGACAGCAGCAAGGAGCTGCAAAGGCAGCGAGCGGACCGGCGTGCCGCCGCCCACCTTGCCGCGGCACGCCTCCTTGAATTTGGTGCCCTTGCCGCAGCCCCGGGGGCATGGGAAGCCAATTTTGCGGTTCCTGCAGCCCGAGGAGGGGCGGGATCAGCGCTGGAGGGGCTGGGAATTGGCGAAAATGACTGCCTCCCCCCGTCGGTCTGGACGCCTGTTTGGTGGCACAATGCGCGGCACCCGACTCTGCAGGACCTTCCGGGCAGGGAAACGGACCTCTCGCAGCGCATACTCTTCAAGAACCGCTCCAAGCAGTGCGCATGGTAGCAGCTCGACTCCGGGTCGCACTGGGCAAAGGAGCAGTCCAGAGCAACCGCGTCTGCCACTTCCGAGTCCACCTCGTCGCCGCAGAGGTCACAGACCAACTTGCTGCTGCTGCTGGTCAGGTCGTGGAGCTTGGCGGTGCCCGCCAGGCCAGAAGCCTTGAACGCCATGTTTGTCTACTAGGCCAGGACCAGTTGACGCTGGGGTTTAAGGCACTGTCACCTCACGCACAGCAGGCGCTGCAAGTGCCGCAATCGGGTTGTCCCAAATTGTCGCGCCACATTGAAGCCACATTGATCACATCACATCCGCAGGCAGCCGGTCAGCGCCGCTATTGGCGACGCACTGTGTTGGGAGTCCCTCCTCCCTTCTCAGTTCCCCCTCATTCCCATCCCATATTGCTTGCGAGGATGGCAGCAGCATGTGTGCCCGGCATCAGCCTGATCAAAGCTAGTCCGTGTCGCAGGCGCCGGTTGCTCACAGCGACCGCAGGCGGCAGCAGCCACATGTGCAGACCAGGCAGCGCCAGTGGCTGCAGGCATCTCCTGGGAAGCGTGGCGGCCAGGGTGCGACCACCATCGTATCTGCGGCGGCTGCCGCTGCCTCGGTGCGCGGCGTCAAGCGGAGGCGGCGCTCCCAACCTGGAACCGCCGCAGCAGCGGGACGGGAGCGAGGCTGCAGCTGTGAGCCCCGCCGCCTTCCTGGCGGGCGGCACGCTTGGGAATGCCGGCATGGCAGTGGCGGGCACGCTGCTGGGCGACTGGAGTGGTGAGACGGGCAGCGGCTTCTCATTCTCAGAGCTGTGGGCACCACAACACGTGGTTGCGTGTATGCTTGCGTCACCATGCTGCATCCGAGGCTCCTGCATGGCGCACCTGCAGGCCTGGACGTGTCGGGGCAGCTCCTGCGCCACACCGCCAGCCTGCCCGCGGCCCTGGCCTTCATGGTGCCGCTGCTGGGGGTGTGCTACTATGGCGTCAGCGCCGCGGATCGCGACCCTGGGTTTGGTGAGCTCAAGCGCGTGTTCCAGGAGTCGCTCATACCTCAGATGGAGGCCCTGCCCGGCTGGGTGAGCATGCGCAGCTTGTGAGAAGCCGGCCAGCGTGGCGACTCAGCGCCCTCCCCAGGATGCTCGTGCCTCCAGCCTGCGCCTCCTGCCGCTGTGCAGGGCCTCTGCCTGCTGTCGCTGGGCGCTGGGGTGGGGGAGGAGACGCTGTTCCGGGCCTTCCTGCAGACCGCGGCCATCGGCAGCATACAAGGCGCAGCACCCGCCCTGGCGCCGGCGGCGGCCACCGCCGCCGGCGTGGCGGTCACCAGCCTGGGCTTTGCGGCGCTGCATGCCCTCACCCCCACCTATTTTGCCTTTGCCTTTGGCGCGAGCATCCTGTTTGGGGTGGAGTATTGTGCATGTGGCCTGCAGTCCGCGGCGCTGACGCACTGGCTGTACGACTGGTGCGCCCTGGTGTACATCTTGAGCCAGTGGGGTAGCAGCGGCGGCGGCGGCGGCAAGCAGCCGTCGGCCACCTAGCACACCCTGCTCCTTCTATGTGCCGTGGCATGATATCATTTCCTGTCTCCTCCTGATAAAAATTAGATGCCACCTGTCTCAGTTGAAGAGGAACATGCAGAAGGATGAGGCGCCATGTCAGGCGTCCGGGGCTGCCTGCACACCTGCCGGAGTCGACTCCCCGCCGGCCCGCTCCCCTCCCTGCTGCTGCTGCTGCTGCTGCTGCTCGCGGTTGCGCAGCTGCAGCACCGTGGCGGCGCGCTCAAACTGCAGCAGCTCCGCCAGCTCCGCCTGGCTGAACAGGGGGCTCATCTCGGGGCTGGCAACCATCACCACCAGCTGCAGGGTGGGGGCGGCAGGAGGGGCAGGCCATGCACCAGGCGGCTTGGACACAGCCTGCCACGCCGCTCACAGATGCAGCGCCGCCCCCGGGGGTGCATACTCGCGCAGTGAAGGCAGCGCCGGGGCAGCCCGGCTGCACCACAGGCAGCCGGACAAGCCCACCAGCCCACCCACCCACCTCGTCTCCCTCGCCGCCCGTGTGGCCCATAAAGGCCAGCGCCTCACGCAGCGCAGCGCACTTGAGGGCGAGGCGCGGGTAGCAGACGTGGCGGCACAGGGTGGCTGAGGCGGCGGGCGGGGCGTCGATGTTGACGACCTGCAGGCGGAGGGG